ATGCACTGGTGCTTGTGAAATGCAGGGCCAGTTTCCCTTCATCCCCAACCTCCCCAGTCCAAAGCCTTTGAAACTCTTACCTTAGAGATTTCTGAGGAAGGACGAGACACACTGATCCCAGGGTACTTTTATAGAGTTTGATCTGCATACGTAGCCACCACCTCCTCTTTCTTAGGTCAAAACATTTTTGGCAATCTTAACTGCTAGCAGAATTGCCATTCATATTAGAAGTAAATGGATATAATTAGACATAACAGATCTGTGAATCAATCTCCTATAAATAATTTGACAAGAGAGTCTGAGAAGGGGGCGGGGGGAGGCAGAAGGCTGTTCTAAAGGAGATGAAAAGGGCTGTGCATTGGTACTGTAATCCATCAGATGCTGACTCAAGCAGACAAAGTGAAGAGTAAGAGGCAGTGTATTGTAGTAGCAAACATAGGGATGGAGAGGTGAAGGCAGAGTCTCTGCATGCTGCAAATGCTCTGAGTCTGCAATGTGAAAGAGCATGAGGGGTCCTACTGAGGTGCAGGATCACTGTTAGAGGAAGGAAATCCATATATAAGATGAAGCATCTGAATAGGAGCAAAAGTCACAGGAGTGAGAATCAAGGGATGATATGAATGACCAAGTAGTAAAATGGACCATAGCCAAAACAAGAGAATGAGGGGCAAGGATGAGTCAGAAGGTAATGATAAGGAACGTGTGATGATCTAGTCTGGGATAGAATTAATTTTATTCACAGTGACTAGTATGAGGCTGTTATTTTGGGTCTGTGCTGGAAAGAGTGTTAGTAATACAAGAATGCTTTCCTTATTGCTGAGCAGTGTTTACACAGGGTCAAGGGGTTTTCTGCTTCCTACTGCACCCCACCAGCAAGTGGGCTGATTGAGTTGGGAGGGGACACAGGATGAACAGTTGACCCCATTTGACCAAAGGGATATTTCATACCATAATAACAATATGCTCATCATAGGGGTGGGGTGGGAAGAAGGAAAAGGGGAGCGTTCACTGTTAACAATATTAGTCTTCCCAAGTAACCACTATGCTTGATGGAGTTCTGCTTCCCTGGAAATGGCTGAACACCTGCCTGACCATGGGAAGTGGTGAAGGAATTGCGTGCTTTGCTTCATGTGTGTGTGCAGCTTTTGCTTTTCTTATTAAAGTGCCTTTATCTCAACCCATGAGTTTTCTCATTTTTACTCTTCTTATTCTCTTCCCCATCCCACTGGGGAGGGGGCGAGTGGCTGTGTGGGGCTTAGTTGCCAGGTGGGGGTAAACCACAACAGAAGGTTATTGATTAAGGAATAGGAAGCAAATAGGGGTGTGATTCCAAGGGGATAACAGCAAGACAGAGGGGACAATAAAAGGACAAAACAAGTTAAGTCTAGAGTTGAAGATAGAAGTCTCTAAGTCTGAAGTTACCAAGTTTAAACCCCAGAGGAAAGGCACAGAAATCCAGGGCTTGTTTCTGGGGCTGGAGGGTTTCAAAAGTCATATGAACAGAACTATGGAACCACTGTACTGAACTGAAGACACATATCCTGTATGAAGCAGCAGAAATAGGTGCTTTCTCGACATAGGCGAGACGTTCAGCGCTATTTTTGCTGGGTGAGAGTGCTAAACAAAAGGAAAGGATTAATAAATCTGCATTATCTAGAAGAGAATCAATCACGCCCTGTGCTAGTCTGGAGGACAGGCAGTTATAGTCAGAAGGAACATCATGCGAAAAATGCAACCTACTTTGCTGATCCCTGGGGTGTTCTCCACCTACATTAAAGAGGGGGATACATATATCCTGCAACAGCAACAGCACAAGTAGGAGAGTGATGAAGAGGTCAGTGGGACCTTTTTTCTTTATTGATAAGCAATTTCATCCCCATGCAATGGTGTCCTTTCACAGCACTTGGAGGCTGGCTGGAGGACTTGAAAAGATATCCAAAAAGGACAGGTGAAGGTCAGCTAGGGATTGACAATTCTGACGGGATGACCAAAGATGCTTAGCACTTGCTTTAAATAAACAGCAAGTTTGAAGGTAGCTGCTGAAGCTTGTCACGTATGCCAAAAATACCAACCAAGTAAATCTCACATGTTTTCTCTGTGCATTCCCAAAAGAAAATTTATTTAACAGTAATAGGAGTCCCTATATGGTTTCACTTCTGATTTGTCAGAGCCCTTAGTCATACTGAATGTAGTCCCAAACCACCTAATTTGCTTACCCATCTGTAAAAGGTGATAGCAATTAGATACTTTATACAATCAATGCTGTATTTGATCTTACGTTACATTTGCGATCAACATGTAAATGTTGAATGTCTAGTTCAGCTTAACTCAGAATACTATGTTTGGGCTAACGATCTAGTTTTAGGTTAATAACAGGCCCAGTATGTTCTGTTGACCTGACCTCCCTCACAACAGGCAGCACCAGGAGTGGTGACCACCAGGCAGGACCCAGAAGTCCAGCAAGCTTAAGAGTTAAGCTCAGCCAGTGGTCACCGAGAAGGTGCTCAAGGATAATATTCTCTTGGTAGAAGGCAAAGAAAACAAAGTCATCTCTGCTGGCCAGCAAGGACGCGGCGACCCAGAGATCCCTCAGAAACACGTAGCCATCCAGGCTGCAGTGAGTGTCAGAGCCTGTCAGCGTTGTTGGATGGTAGCTGTGCAAGATGTGATCATGTTCAGGATTTGCTTTGCATGGTGGTAGAACTACAGGAATTCTGTGAGGAAGCAGCTATGCATTTGCTATGGATCTGGAGACTGTAATAAACACTGTTTCTAAGGCCTGTTCTTGGATGACTCTGCATTAGACTTACCCTGGACAGAGTGAAGACTCCTAGAAAAACAAGGGAGAGCTTGACTCAAATTATAAATAGATTAAATATACTATGATGGTCAAATCAAATGCCCACCGACTCTGGGGTGCCCTTCAGCTTCTTTAAGGGTCTTGTGAAATAAATAGCAATGAAGTGTGAAAAACAAAGAAGGGGCTTGAGGAAAATCACCATGTGGTTTTTGCTGTTTATTAACCAAGTAAGTCTTCCCTTTGGTGAAATGGGTCTGAACCCAGAAGCTGTGGCAATTATCACTCCTTTCTCCAGCCTGGTTCTGCTGTGTTCCCACACAGTGCCTGTTAGAAAGCGCCTCCAGCCATGGTTACAATGCCCCTCATATTTCCCTTCAAGGAATCCAGTCTTTTCTGGTTCCCTACATTCTGGACAACACAGGATATTTCATAGCAAAGATGTTGGTGTGTGGGAGTAGGAGACCTTTAGGAGACTGGCGTGAGCAGGTATCAACTTGAAGCGACTATTCTGCTTGTGCAGACAATTAAGAGAACAGATTTGCATTCAGGATTCCCCCTTGGTACTTCCCTACTCTGAGACATTCTTCTAAAACATCATTGCTGGTTGCCAAAGCATATCAATATAGAATCATGGAATAGAAACATAGAACAGTTAGGGTTGGAAAGGACCTTAAGATCATCAAGTTCCAACCCCCCTGCCATGCCACCTTGCTCTAAACCATATCACCCAAGGCCTTGTCCAACCTGGCCTTGAACACTGACAGGGATGGAGCATTCACAACCTCCCTGGGCAACCTATTCCAGTGCCTCACCACCCTAACAGGAAAGAATTTCCTCCTTATATCCAATATGAACTTCCCTGTTTAAGTTTTAACCCATTACCCCTTGTCCTATCACTACAGTCCCTAATGAAGAGTCCATTCCCAGCATCACTATAGGCCCCCTTCAGATACTGGAAGGCTGCTATGAGGTCTCCACGCAGCTTTCTCTTCTCCAGGCTGAACAGCCCCAACTTTCTCAGCCTGTCTTTATATGGGAGGTGCTCCAGTCCCCTGATCATTCTCGTGGCCCTCCTCTGGACTTGTTCCAACAGTTCCATGCCCTTTTTATGTTGAGGACACCAGAACTGTACGCAATACTCCAAGTGAGGTCTCAAAAGAGCAGAGCAGAGAGGCAGGATCACCTCCTTCGACCTGCTGGTCACACTCCTTTTGATGCAGTCCAGGATACGGTTGGCTTTCTGGGCTGCGAGCGCACACTGAAGCCGGCTCATGTTCATTTTCTCATCGACCAACACCCCCAAGTCCTTCTCTGCAGGGCTGCTCTGAATCTCTTCTCTAAAAACACGTTTAGATGCCACGAAGTAGGTGGCAGTGCCTTAACCATATACATGTTGTATAGGCCACAAGGGCCTCTTCCATCCTTATCAAGGGGAGTGCTAACCTTCCCTCTGATTTATTTTATGATTTTTGGGACATGAATCATGGTGATTGCCTCTTAAAACTGAAATGCACAGGACAGTTCTCCACTGATCTTTCCCCTGCTTTGATGGTACAGGTGCACACCACTACATTTGAGATATGTACTGTGTGTGTTTAATAGTCTTCACTCAGTTGTCCCACTAAGCTGACCACCTGGCTGTGCTTCTGTGAAGCTTTACTGTCCAATATTACACAAACTGTGATATAATAGCTTGGAGAAAGGAATATTTTTCTTATGCCTTTGAATGAGATTCCTTGTACTTTGGCTGAAATATCTTAGAAGTATATGTGAGGCTGGCCTGTGTAAGACTGGTTGTGGAGCAGAAGGGCATGAACACAGGGAAGAGGGGTAAGGATGATTTCTTAACCAGGGGGAGAGAGATTTTTTTGCAAGCTGCTCTCTGTTCTTTGCAAAAATCCCTAATGTCTTCATTACCTAGACATAAATGATAGTTACAGAAACAGCAACACTGAGATTCACATTCTATGCATGGCTCGGGTCACTTTTTAGCCTTGGGACCCTCATTCTTCCTCTTCTATCTTCTTATGAACCTCTTGGTTCTTGGCATGGAGCTTTTTGACAGAATTGAACTGTAACAACCAAAAGCACTGCTTCTGCTGTATATGTCTTTATTCTCTAGACATTGACATTGCTACAAAGACTAATTACAGGAGAAAGCGACCGAGAGGTTCACATTTTGTGCAGCCCCCAGGTCACTTTGCTGCCTCAGGACAGCCTCACTCTTCCTCTTCTACCTTCTTGCCGTGAAATTCCCGGCTCTTGGCTCGGAGCTTGTTGACCTGGGACTCTGCAATGTCAGCCCGCTCCTCAGCTTCCTCCAGCTCGTGCTGGATCTTGCGGAACTTGGAGAGGTTGACATTGGACAGCTCCTCCTGTGCAGGGAGAGGGAGTTATAAAAAATAAAAGCAGTGAGATTGAATATCTGAAAATTGGGCAAACAAACATTGAAATGCCACAGCTGAGAGCAAGGCAGGCTCAAAAACAAGGTAAGAAGCTGCTCAGAATGTTAAGTTTGCCAGAAGACAAAGAACAAGGGAATGTCAAAAAGACCACATAACACACAGCATTGTCTAGGCAGCATCAATGACACAGTTACCAACAATCAGACTAGAAGCTGCCTCTGACACCCAGAGTAGCACAGGGAGGAAGAAACAGAGGTGAAAAGCGAGGCTTGCAGGAAAACAAATAGAAATGGGGAAGTATAGTTCTTCACAAAATCAGAAATTTTTACTCTTACATTCCCCACTCTCTTGTAGCAGCAAATGCATCAAAACAGTCAAGGGTTTAAAGAGTTGGACAGAAGAAAATACTAAAATTCTACTTCTACCAGAAGGAATTCTGAATTTAGCCAGGGTGGTACTTACAGCCTCCTCAGCTTGTCTCTTGTAGGACTTCACTTTCATTTGCAGCTTGTCCACTAGATCTTGGAGCCTGAGAACATTCTTCCGGTCTTCCTCAGACTACAGAGAATGGTAAGTAATAGAAAGCCTCATTTACCTCTTTCTACAGATATCATAAATGTGAAACAGAGGAACTAACATTCCTTATGGAGCACTGCTGTCCAAAGACAGATGCCAAAATCTTCTAACGTGTGTCACTGACAGAGGTATAGAAAGAAAACCCTCTGGAAGGCAATGTGCCAAAATTTTGACTTCCTGGAAAAGAGTATGCCACATAAAAAAGCTTCCTGCCTTACCTGGTAGGTCAGCTCCTTCACCCTCCTCTCATACTTGCGCACACCCTTCACGGCTTCAGCGCTGCGCTTCTGCTCAGCATCAACCTCCCCTTCCAGCTCCCGCACCTGCAATCACAAGCCCATCTTTGGAGCTTCCCTGCTATCTCTCCAAGGGACATGCTCACTCTTGCACAAACACCAGCCCTACGCACTCTGGCCTCCAGCTTCTGGATTTGCTTCTTGCCTCCTTTCAGTGCCAACTGCTCAGCTTCATCCAGACGGTGCTGCAGGTCCTTCACCGTCTGGTCCAGGTTCTTCTTCATCCTCTCCAGGTGGGCGCTGGTGTCCTGCTCCTTCTTCAGCTCTTCTGCCATCATGGCCGCCTGAGGAGAGCAATGCGCCAATGGCATTTTGGGTCTGGAGCCATTTTGGGGGAGAATACATCCATCATAAGCAATGAAAGGAGCCCCAACTCACATCTGTGATGGCCTTCTTGGCCTTCTCTTCAGCATTGCGGGCTTCCTGGATGGTATCCTCCATCTCACCCTGAATTTGGGCAATGTCTGTTTCCAGTTTCTTCTTGGTGTTGATCAAGCTGGTGTTCTGTTGAAGAACATGAACATGACCATTTTCTTTTTGTTACCTTGTGATATTATATCAAGAATACTGCACCATCAGGTCACATGTTATTCTGTTCTGAAGGATCTGCTGTGGAAGCTGTTAGTTTCTTAGCCATGATGTGCTTCCGTACTTTAAGAGCATCCTCCATAAGGTCTTTCCTCGAAATTTTTCAGTCAATAGAGAAGGAATTTAGACTTATAAAGATAAAAGATGTAATATTTCCTTACAGTTTTCAATCTTGTGGCAGTAACAGTTATAAAGGGTGATACAGAATGCTCATAATGACATAGTTAAATGACGTCAGTAACTGTATAAGTGTATTCCTGTTTTTTTAATGATTAATCTTTGACTCTACAGTCTCAAATGTAAAACTGAAACCTGTTGAACTTAACAGAGTTGTAGGGTAAGAACCTCACATATCTCTCTAAAATTTATTACTTTTAAAGTATCTGCACTTTAGTCTAATGAAATTCGTATCTGCAATTGTAAATTCACATTTAATATTTGTTACCCACAGTGTGAAAATTACAGTGTATTTTACAAATGTTATAGTTCAGTTAGTCTTCCGTTATTTTACCTGCATGGAGAAAAGGTATAAATACTACATATGTTTCTACACTGACCTGGGTATGGAGGAGCTGAACTCTCTCACTTGCATCCATCAGTTCCTGCTCAGCTAATTTCCTTGACCGCTCTGTCTGCTCCAGGGCTGCCCGTAGCTCCTCAATTTCAGATTGCAACAGGTTTGCTCTGCGCTCCACCATGGCCACCTGCTCCTTCAGGTCCTCCTGTGCCCTGAGAGCATCATCTAAGTGTATCTGAGTGTCCTGGAACAAAAGACAAGAAAGACTATGACATATATTTCCCTATTTTCCCTTTCCCTGTTTTCACATGGTTATAGATCTGATAGAATTGTACAACAGGGAAATATTTATCTTATTCATTAACCAGTGAGAACCTGTTTCATTGTGCCATACCTTGAGCACTCCTTGTGTGTTTCTCAGGTTCTTCTGTGCCTCAGCAGCCAAGCGATTGGCATGGCTGAGCTGGATCTCCATTTCATTCAGGTCTCCCTCCATCTTCTTCTTGAGACGCAGGGCTTCATTCCTGCTCCTGATCTCAGCATCCAGGGTGCTCTGCATGGACTCCACAATTCTGAGGTGGTTTCTCTTCAGCTGGTCGATCTCCTCATCTTTCTCTGCTATTTTCCTATCAATCTCAGACTTGACCTGATTGAGCTCAAGTTGGAGGCGCAGGATCTTCCCCTCTTCATGTTCTAGGGAGGCCTGACAGAAAAAGTTAATATTTTTTAATTATAAAAGTACCAATGTCAGTCACTTTATTCTTGAAGAATAATACATAGTGTGAGGTTTGACAGTGAAGAAGAAATTTCTGTACATCCAAAGACTTTAATGATGTCCTAGGTTCCCTACCTCCTGTGCCTGGAGATTATTCTCTATGCATATAATTTCATAATTTGCATCTAAGGTTGCTAAACTGTGTTGTAAGGGGACAATTAAGAACAGAAGGCTGTACCTCAGCTTCCTCCAGTGAGGCTTGAAGCTCAGATTTCTCCTGCTCAATCTGCTTCTTGACTTTCTCCAGCTCATGAATCGCTTTTCCTCCCTCAGCAATCTGCTCCGTGAGATCAGAAATCTCCTCTGTGGGAACAAGAACCAATGGCATGGTCGGCCACAGAACCGAATGGGAAGGGCCCTCACACACCAACGTGACAGGCATCTTTGCCCACCTGCAGGCACAGACCCATGTGTAGTGGTGGGTACTGGTGGGTGCCGAGAAAGCCCTGCCAGGAGCAGAGGGCCAGGGACTTACGCTGCAAGTTCTTGTTCTCGCGCTTCAGCGTTTCCAGGTGGTCCAAGGACTCCTCATAGGCATTCTTCATCTTAAACAGCTCCGTGCTGAGAGAGCGGGCCTCCTTCTGGGAGGCTTCCAGCTCAGCCTGTGTTTCCTCATACTTCTGCTTCCATTCTGCCAGGATCTGAAGAGAAAGCGGGTGTCAGTATGGACATGACAATGAGGAGGGGATGTTTTCCCCAGGAGCCCCCAGTCTGAAGCCTGAAAGACCTTGTCAAAGTTCTTCTGCTTCTTATCCAGAGCTGCACAAGCAGCATTCGATCTCTCCACATCAATCATCAGGTCCTCCACTTCATTCTGCAGCCTCTGCTTTGTCTTTTCCAGGGAGGCACATTTGGCATTGACAGCTTCAACATGTTCCTCTGCATCCTGCAGGCGCTGTGCCAGCTTCTTCCTGTGATGTGGTAAGTAGTGCTGCAGGTTAGGGGTAAAGGGCCTGCCACAGCTGTGTCCCAGCACCTACTGTTTATTAGGCCTGTCTTAACCATTCTAGCCATAAAGGTGACATTTGTCTTTCCAGTCCATTTTTCCACAGGACACTTTTTCTCTCTCCCTCTTTGCCCTCTACTACAAATACACTACATCCCAGCCTTCATTCCTCCCCGTCATAACTCAGTCTCAGAGACTCCCATTTCCCTGAACAAGTCTTCTCCAGTTGTTCTATGGTACACTTGTCACGTACTTGGCCTCTTCCAGCTCCTCCGTGCGCTGAATGGCGTCTGTCTCATATTTGGTTCTCCACTGGGCCACTTCGCTGTTGGCTTTGGACAGGGCGCGCTGCAGCTCTGCCTTGGCTTCCTGCTCCTCCTCAAATTGTTCCCGGAGCAAGTCACAGTCATGGCGAGCAGACTGCAAGGCGTGGGCCAGCGCATTCTTGGCCTGCAGCAAAAGGAGTGGGGAAAAATTTTATTGTGACAATGAATGGAAACATCCTGAGAAATCTCCAATATTGATGGATACTGTAAAGAAAATTAATGGCTAGGCTGTAAGGCTGGAAGACTCTTTCCAGGCTGGAAAGCACAGCACTACCAAAGTAGTTATTTTTTCCCCCCTCTCATCTTGTAAATTCTGTGATTACATACATTTCTGATAGTATCTTTTCACCTTTATCTCTTCCTCTAAGTGTCTCTTGAGCTCCTCAATCTGTTGGGTGAAAGCCTGCTTGCCTCTTGACAGCTGAGAAATCAGCGATTCTTTCTCCTCCACTTGGCGTGAATATTCACCTAGCAAAGCACAAAGAAAGAAAATATATACAGTGTCATTTGTGAGCCAAAATAACTCTTTTGGGATGCTCTCCCATTCAAGGACATAGAGGAGGTTCTCTTACCTGACTCTGTCTGCAGACGAGCTCTTTGAGCACTGAGGTCATTGATCATGCGCTGATGCTCTTCTTCCTTTGTCTTAATCTCACTCAGCTGGTCTTCCAGGGTGCGACACATCTTCTCCAGATTTGCCTGAGTGGTAATATATGGAAGTAGTTAATGATGCTAATTCTTAATGATAGCAGCTGCAAAATCTTAAATGTAATAGAATTCTGTTGGGGCAGAAATATCTAGAAGATATCTGTGTACCTTGGCTTTGGAGACAGACTCCATGTTACTGGCCAGGTCATCAATCTCCATCTTCAGCTCACTCTTCTCTTTCTCCAGCTTCTGCTTCACTCGCTGCAGGTTGTCGATCTGCTCCCCAAGCTCAGCGGTGCTGTCCGCGTGCTTCTTGCGCAGGGCAGCAGCCGTGGCTTCGTGCTGCAGCGTGGCCTCTTCGAGGTCACGACGCATCTTCTGGAACTCGGCCTCACGCTTCTTGTTCACCTCGATCTGAGCTGCTGTAGCCCCTCCTGCTTCTTCCAGGCGCTCGCTGATCTCCTCCAGCTCCCTCGAGAGGTCAGACCGATGCTTCTCTGCTTTTGCCCGAGAGGTTCGCTCTGCCTCAATTTCCTCCTCCAGTTCCTCAATACGAGCCTGGGGAACATCAGGAACCATTCACACCCATGGCCTCCTCTTACCTGACCTGAGGATGGATGAGAGAGCAGAAGGAACAGAGACTTGCCTGCAGCTCCTTGATCTTCTTCTGTAATTGCATGCCCAGGGTTTGCTCATCCTCAATTTTGCTCTGGATCTGGCTGATTTCAAAGTCTTTCCTTTGGGCAAAGAAAACCATGTTAGAGCTGAAAGAAAAAAAGACAAGTACAACAGGTCAGTGCTCAGATGCCCCACAGCCCCACTTACTTCTTGAGTTTCTCATCCAGCTGCTGCTTATCATTTTCCAAATCCATGATGTTGTCCTGGGCCAGCTTCAGGTCTCCTTCGAGTTTCCTCTTAGCTCTCTCAAGGTCCATGCGCAGTTTCTTCTCTTGCTCCAGGGACCCTTCCAGCTGAAATTAACAAGACCATGAATACCCTGTCCACCAGATCTAACCCCATACCTGCCTTGTTCTTGCTGTATGCCTGTGTGCTTACATCATCCACTTGTTGCTCCAGCTTGGTCTTAGCCTTGGTCAGAGTATTGACTTTGTCTTCCTCTACTTGCAAGTCATCCAGTGTCTGCTGATGGGCCTCTTGGAGGGCTTTCTTCTCTTTTGTCAGCTTGGCGATTGTCTCATCCAAGGTTGCCATCTCCTCTGTGAGGTTTTTCACCTTTGAGAAGAAAAGAGGAAGTGAACACAAAGGAAGTAGGTACAGAAGTCCTGTAACAGCACAGTGCTCTTTTCTAGAGCATGAGTGACAGGTTCTGCCTCATACCTTGTTTTCAGTGGCATGTTTTTCCTTCTCAACCTTGGCCAGTGTTAACTCAAGGTCATCAATATCTTTCTTCAACTCTGAGCATTCATCCTCCAGTTTCCTCTTCTTGGCTGTCAGCTCAGCATTAATTTCCTCCTCATCCTCAGCCCTTTCAGTCACCTCTTTAACTTTTGCTTCCAACTGGATTTTGGTTTTGATTAGCTGGTCGCACCTTTCTTCAGCATCAGCTAAAGCATCAGCTTCCTGTTAGAGAAACATTGTATTGTTTGCTAACTGTAAGTTTTAGCAGAAGCTGAATAGAAAAAAATGTATTTCCTATGGAAAAATCCCCATGGAATTACCATTTTTTATTATCTTGTGGGAAATGATTTTTGCACAACCTCTTTTAAATTGGCGTAGGATCTTATTCTAATTTTTTACTCTCATTGATTTTTCTCTCTTTCTTATTTGGAGATGTGTAACTGTCTAAATACACTTATTTCCTTAAGGATTTTGATTGCTTTCCCTGAAAGTTAATAACTGAATATAATTGCGCACAGATCTTTTTGTTTTATCACTGTAAAATCTTCACTTGGCAAGACTGACTTAGTATTGCTCTTGTTCCAGATAAAGTGGTACATAATTTATTTGTAATTGGTGGGTTTTGTTTGAACCTTTGTCTTGAAGCTGTGAAGCAGATACTTAAAGACAGAGGAGTATTGTGTAAATGTTGCCAAATCTTTTGATCTCCCAAAGAACATCTGAAACGCACATAGGTTTCACAGCTAGGATGTAGTAGTTTTGTGAGTCTTTCTGGAATAGTAGCTGAGTAGCACCAGTGAAATACTTTGCACATAAGAAAAACCATAAGGCTCTTTTATTTAAGGTAACTGATTAAAACCAGAGTCAGAAGTCAACTAAATTGATTTCCAGGCTCTGCTAATATGTACTGTATCTCAAGTGACTGCAGCTGAACCTTACGTTGTGAGCTGGAATTCAGAAACATTCCTGTAGACACAGAGACTTAAAAAGTCATTCTCAAGTTAGAATCTGATGCTGAGTGATCTGTATTTTACCTTTAGTGATTCAGATCAAAATACTTGCCAAGAAAATTTAGTATGAAGTGTGAGGGTTCCAAACTATGAGAGAGGACTTAAACCTTGTGTATTTTCCCCTGCAGGAAATGTGCTAGTAATACTTACAGACTGCACTTGGAGCTGCAGGTCGTTTTTCTCCTGCACCAGTTTCACCATTTTCTCCTCCAGCTCCTTCCTCTTTGCCTCAGACTTTGCAAGCTCTTCCTTGGTTTTCTCAAACTCTTCCTTCATGTTGGCCATTTCTTTCTCAGATTCTGCACTCTTCAGCAAGGGCTTGATCTTAAAGAACAGCTTCATCCAGGGCCAGTGCTTCACATTCATGAAGGACCTAACATTGTACTGGATGCAGAAGATGGACTCCCTGAAGAATAATTAAAATGAACATAAAATAATTTCAGGAGGACGAGTGTCAACACTTTCCTCCAAGTACAATGACCTTAACTGAAGATGAAATATGTCTACCTTCTCTCCACCATTCTCTGGTACTCCACTCTCATCAGGAAGCCCCTACATCTGGCCTGTGTGCGGGTGATGAGCTGTGCCAGCTTTTCATCCCTCATCTCCTCCAGGAGTCCCAGCAGCCCAGCTTTGAAGAACACCTTGAGAAAGGGAATGTTGCTGCACATCACTGGCAGGTAGAGCAGAGCACAGAGATGCAACGAATGACTCAAGAAAGATTTGTACCTTGGTGTGTCCAAATTTGTACTGGGTATGGTCCACATCAATTGACCCAAGAAGCTTCTCAGAAGCCTTCTTGCTGTCAATGAACTGTCCCTCTGGGATTGCACTGGCATTAAGCACCTTGTACCTGTGGAATGAGGAGGAAATATGAATGAAGGCAATCTCAGACATAAAGGTATAATGTTTATTGAAGTTACCATTAGTGCAGCAGAATTGGGCTGAGGAATTTTGAATTTCATTTCTTGTTCAGAGATACATTTATACTGAAGTTCCAATCTGATAACAAAGTTAGGGAAACTTTTACTGTCTTTAGGTGATATGTTGCAGATGAGAAGAGGACACTGATCTCCAGCCATTTCATTCTGAGATCTTTTTCACTTAACCTATGCTGTAGAAAACATCTAGAAAGGAACATTGCCACTCTGTGTATAGGAAGATCGCATCTTCCCCTGAAACTTGCAGCTGATATAATGGCCAAAGCACTCTACTGAGTCTGGAAATTTTATTTGAGAACTTGTTGTAGCCACATGCCAATCTGCATTTTTAAATCTTGTGATCACTGGTTTGTATAGCTTTATTGTGCTTTCATATTCAGAGACACAGGCAAAATTCAGTTGTGTGACGACCAGCAAATAGTGAGGACAACTGAAATCTCTTCAACAATTTCTCTTTTTCTAGCCTTACATGTTACACTGTGTTCATACATTTCATTATTTTCCCCTTTCAGTTTTTTGATATTTTGCGATACTTATCGTTCAGATATTTGGCATTTAAAAGTAATAACAAATGTTAAAATTGTTAGGAATTACGACTTATGCAGTAAAGAGAGAAGGGAGAGCAGAAAAGAGACTGACCTCTGTTTGAAGTCAGCATAGAGGATTCTGCTGGGAAATCCCTTCCTGCAAATCCTGATGCCTTCCAGCACGCCGTTACAGCGCAGCTGGTGTAGCACCAGTTCGTGCTCCATTGCACCTTAAGGAAATAAGACAATTATTCGATCCTTCACATTAAAGCATAGAGAATAACGGCTGCATTGCAATATTGTTTGTCTTTACTTAAGGTTCTTACCAGGTGTTTTTGTTTCATTGGGGATGATACATCGCACAAAATGGGGGTGAGTGCTCCGTAAATTGGTCATCAGCTTGTTTAGGTTCTCCTGTGGGTTCATAGAATCATAGAATAGTTAGGGTTGGAAAGGACCTTAAGATCATCAAGTTCCAAGATCATCTAATTCCAATCCCCCTGCCATGGGCAGGGACACCTCCCACTAAACCGTCTCACCCAAGGCTCTGTCAAACCTGTCCTTGCACACCACCAGGGATGGAACATTCACAACTTCCCTCGGCAACCCATTCCAGTGCCTCACCACCCTCACAGTAAAGAACTTCTTCCTTATATCCAATCTAAACTTCCTCTGTTTAAGTTTTAACCCGTTACCTCTTGTCCTGTCACTACAGTCACTAATGAAGAGTCCCTCCCCAGCATCCCTATAGGCCCCTTTCAGATACTGGAAGGCTGCTATGAGGTCTCCACGCAGTCTTCTCTTCTCCAGGCTGAACAGCCCCATCTATCTCAGCCTGTCTCCATACAGGAAGTGCTCCAATCCCCTGATCATCCTTGTGGCCCTCCTCTGGACTTGTTCCAACAGTTCCATGTCCTTTTTATGTTGAGGACACCAGAACTGCACACAGTGCTCCAAGTGAGGTCTTAAGAGAGCAGAGTAGAGGGGCAGGATCACCTCCTTCGACCTGCTGGTCACACTCCTTTTGATGCAGTCCAGGATATGGTTGGCTTTCTGGGCTGCGAGCGCACACTGCTGGCTTATGTTCATTTTCCCATTGACCAAGACCCCCAAGTCCTTCTCTGCAGGGTTGTTCTGAATCTATTCTCTGCCCAACCTGTAGCTGTGCCTGGTATTGCTCCAACAAATTTTTCATGAGTAAATTTTTCATTATTGTTATTTCATGAGTAAAGCTTTTTCATTAACAAATGATACCTCCACAGCTACACTCTCAAATGTTAGAAAACTGTTAGAAAGCTACAATGAATTTAGTTTTCCCACATATAGCTATATGTTTTCTTCTGCCTTTCAGTCTTAAGCATGAAAGTCACAAATGTGTTCTCATGAGACTGAGGGATACACATACTTAGACAGGACACCTATTGAGAATAGTGATGAGAAGTTCGTGGCAAGAATTATATTTTTGAGTGAAATATGATTCTCTGAAGATGTTGACTATTGATAAGCATGGAAACAAAACCAAAAATAAGACAAAAGGTAAGAGGGGCTACTTTTGCAGAAAGGGATGGGAAGGGGAATTTTAATGGCATTAGGTGCTACTTGTGAAGATATATTTGGTTGATCTGGGAAGACAAGAAAGACTCCTTGTTCAGTTAGAATGGGGCCACAAGTCACAAAGAAAAGTCGTAAGTGACAGGTCCCAGAGCACCACTTTCTAGAAGTGCTTCTAAAAGCAAACCCATGATCTCTCTCTGATTTTAGCAAAAAAATTCCTTTTACTAGCTAGGTCCTAACAGTTCCCAGTTTACCTCTGTTTTGGAGCAGGAGCAAAGCTGCTCAATAACTTTTTTTATAGTGTGAAAAACTCTTCAGGATGCCAGACAGTATATAGATGCATGCAAGTGCTGAAACAAATGTGTTTTAATCTGCCTTAAGCTCTGGGTGGCATTTCCCTGTTGGCTTGTCTTCATATGGATAAACATGCTTAAACCCAGACCCAGACTTGAGATTCCCTGTAAATGAAACTGTAGCCTGAGCTAGAGTAATTTTTCTAATGTTGGAAGAAAGGCTAGATCAAGATGTATCTTCCTGAGCTGACCTCAGCTGACTTGCAGTCAGTTCTTTTATAAGGAAATGAAGAAATTTTCTTGGTGACTTGGTGCAGAAAAATGGTCATAGGTGCAGTAAAATAGCCTCGTTGGAGTTAGTGTGAAGTTTCACAATCTTTAACCAAAATTAAAATTAAAACAGAGACATGGAGAAAATAGAGAGAATGACTTTTGTACTTACCCTGAAAAGAGCTGATACAGTCTGGAAAGAAGAACCCTTCTTCTTGCCTCCCTTCTTGCCACCGCCGCCACCACCACTAGCCTCTGAAGAGCAGCAAAAAAAAAAAGATGGTTTTAAAACTTTGTTTTGTAAAATTTTTCTCTATGAAACTCCAAGAAGCTTCCTTATATGCATCAGCCATGCTAAGAAAGGAACCTAGGAAGCAGTAAGAAACAGAGTCAACTTTCTATCTAAAGGAACACAGGACCAAAGGCCCTTGATAATCCAAGAGATTATCATGCCTGAGTGGAAGGCCTGAAATAGATTTAATATTTTCATTTACTGAAAAATTGAAGACATGGGAGATTCTGAACAGCATGCAGTACCTTTAAAACACTCTAGTTGATAAAAACATGAATTTCACAGAAAACTCACCTGCTTCTCCTCCAGCAGATGCAAAAAGTAAGGCCAGTGTCTTCAGGGATGATTTCTGATACAGCCCCACAACAGTTTCATTCAGGGGGTCCTTGTTCTTATCAAGCCAGCCACTGATGTTGTAGTCCACTGTGCCAGCATAGTGTACCAACGAGAAGTGAGCCTCAGCCTTGCCTTTGCCGGGCTTGGGCTTCTGGAAGTTGTTGGACTTGCCCAGATGTTGGTCATAGAGCTTGTTCTTGAAAGAGGTGTCAGTTGCCTTGGGGAACATGCACTCCTCTTCCAGGATGGAGAAGATGCCCATGGGCTGAGAGAAGCAGAAGAAAGAAGGAAGAGGTGAAAAGGCAGAAAGAATCACAGATAAAAAGTTTCCTGAGGGGGACAACATCAAATCTCTGCTCCCAAGGATTTTTCTTCTCAGCAGAGCAAACTGTAAAACAATTTAAGCTTACAATGTATTTGTAATGTATTTACAACATCATACTTGCCCTTTCAAGCCACATTTATAAAGATACAAAAGATTAAAGCATTTATGAAATATTAGGTTTAAATTGAAGAAATACCTTCTCAATGAGCTCAATGCAGGCAGCCAGGTCCATCCCAAAGTCAATGAATTCCCATTCAATTCCTTCCTTCTTGTACTCTTCCTGCTCCAGCACGAACATGTGGTGGTTGAAGAACTGTTGCAGTTTCTCATTGGTGAAGTTGATGCACAGCTGCTCCAGGCTGTTGAACTGCACAATTGCAAATAAAGATTACTCTTAATGTAAATTTTAAAAGTTAGGGATAAAGAACAGTACTGGCTTTTTGTACCAAACCACAGCAGGATCTGCAATTGTTTCTTCTTTCCTCAACCAGGAGTTTGGAACTGCTGTCAGTATCTCTTTTGTCAATCTAAACTTTATCTGAATGTTTACGACCCCTGGAAGTTTGGGCCACTTGTCAGACTTGCCAGTTTTGATAGCTACTGGACTGGGCTAATTCAGATATTGGAGAGCCCAAAGTGCAACAGTTTATCCAACATTTCCAAATGCTGATTTCAAAGCATGTCCCAGGAATTCTAATCACAAGTTTTGACTAAGGAACTGATGTCTCTGCACATAGGTATGAAATGCCGTGTTAGTCTACTGTTTGTAAATGGTAAAAAACCCTGCATTTATAGATTTCCACTGGTATAAGTGCAACACCAAATCCTATTCTAATTAAAAATCTGTGGGAATCATGATACTTTAGGTGCAATCTCAAAGGATCAAACCATTTCTGAGAAAAGAAAAAAAAAAGGCACATAATTCCTTCTAAAGTACTTTGGCATATAACAGAGTTACTTCTAAAGGCATACTAGTAAAACATTGTTCTTACATCAAAGATCTCAAAGCCGGCAATGTCCAGGACACCAATGAAGTACTGTCTGGGTTGTTTGGTATCCAGCTGTTGGTTGATGCGAACAACCATCCACAAGAACATCTTCTCAAAGACAGCTTTTGCCAGGGCACCAACTGAATTGTAGACCTAAATAAATAAAAAAACCCAACAAACAGAAGGCTCATAGTAATTATGTAAATCAAAAGAGGAAGGCGAAAGGATTAGTCAACAAAATGGGGAGTTTTGTTACCTGCTGCACAGTTTGACCCTTGGTGACGTATTCATTCCCAACTTTGACTCGGGGGTAGCACAGGGCCTTCAGCAGGTCAGCTGAGTTCAGACCCATCAAATAGGCAGCCTTGTCAGCAACTAAAGACAAAATAAGGTACCAGCAGACATTAGTGTTCCTTTAAAACAAGTATTAAAACCCAATTCTGGTAAAGATAAAAAGGTAAAAAGTGCAAATTATGCTTTTACAAATAAAGATATGAGCCTGAAATAAGGTTTGGTATTTAACTTTCTGCTATTGCTTTTAATGCTGCCAGCAGGCACAGTATATAATCATCATACAAAAGTATAGCAGATTCATGCATGAATGTTGGACATGATCTAACAGTCTGAAATTGTGTCAAGAAACATTTAGGCTAGAAACTGGGGAAAAGTTTTCAATGAGTTAGGATAGTGAAATACTAGAATAGGTTGCATGTTTTCCTCAGGGTTTTCAAAAGCAGATAGAAAATGGCACAGTAATCAGGGTCCACAGGAAGTGGAGAAGATGCACTGCCACACTTCACTCTCAGCTTCATGAGCAACTAAACAAAGCAAAATAAAAGGTGACTTTGTCACACTGAGGAATCTGTTCATAGGTTCTGAGTAATCCTCAGAAGAGCATTCCAGTGTCTCCGCAAAAGAACTGATTTCAATGGAACCAGTATACACTACTCCAAATATTTACACTGCAAAATGCCATCACCTAAGTAAAGTTACAGCTAGTATTTGTATCCTATTCTACTATTACTGTTCATTATTATGAGATTTCTTTCAATTTTACTCCTTTTAGTTATATTACAATACAATACTAGCATGTGTGGAAATGTGCAGGCTGGGTCAATGATTCTGACCATGGATTTTACTGTCTGTGTTAGTGAGTGCTCTGGTCTATACTATTCTTCAGTATAGGTCTTGCTGGTACCTTCTGTGCCATCCGGCTCTGCCTGCTCCTCACGCTGCTTCTGCTTGAACTTCAGGTTGCCATAATGCATGACAGCCCCTGTCAGCTTGTAGATGGCTGTCTTCTCATCAGGACTAAAGCCCAGGATGTCAATGGCACTCTAACAAAAGAATCATGAGTAAATAACATGCCTGGTAAAGGTCACAATCTGGTAAAGGTCACTTCAGTGCATTACTTACGTCTGTGGCCATCAGCTCTTCCTGGTCGTTAATGCTGGGAACCGTGATCTCACCTTGACTCACATACAGATAGTCATATGGGTTGGTGGTGATCAGTAACATCTCTGGAAAGAACGGCAAAGCACATACAGATCAATGACAGTTAGCCTATAAAGAGTTAAATGTTGTTCCGTGAGCTCTGTAGAAGTTAGTGATCTTTCCTACCAATTAGCTCTGGCTTCTTGTTGGACATGATCTGATAGAATATGTGGTAGCTTCTTTCTGCCTTGAGCTGGAAAGTGACTCTGGACTTCTCCAGCAGATCTGGCAAGGATGGTAGGACAGAGTTAGAGCAAGAACCGAGGAAGGCTGGAAGGCGAGGGATGAGGCCAGGAGGGCCACTTACATGTTTCAATGTCTGCAGAAGCCAGTTTCCCCGTGGCACCAAAATGGATTCTGATGAACTTACCCTGAAAGAAGCAGAAAAGCCAATGGAGATCTATTTGAGCAATCCTGATAGCAAGAACATTTGAGTCAGCATGCTGACAGCTAAAAGTAATTTAGTGCCAGGCGACAACTTACAAAGCGCGAGGAGTTGTCATTCCTCACGGTCTTGGCATTACCAAAAGCCTCCAGCAGTGGGTTGGCACTGATGATTTGATCCTCGAGTGTCCCCTAAAATAGAAATCTTGTTGTCATGATATAGCTCATCAATGAATTTGATAGTTGCAGGTTCCTACTCCTAGGATCTCACCTGCATTTTGCCTTGTGTCTGCTGCTCTTCCTTCTTCTTGTCCCCACTCGCTGCAATTGTTGCAAAGTACTGGATGACACGCTTTGTGTTCACAGTCTTCCCTGCTCCGGATTCTCCGCTGTGCAACCAAAGAGAGAAGCAGAGAGCATGTGGTCAGGCAGAAGGTCCCTGGCACCGGGTAGCCCAGCAGGGCCCAGAGCAGGGAGTGTACATACGTGATCAGGATCGACTGGTTCTCACGATCTGTGAAGGAGGCAGAAAGAAATAGATTTTGTAAATGAAGAACAAAAAAAGACTGAAAATTAATGTAATAAGTGCAAGTTATGGCAAGAAAGGAATTCTGCATGGTTTTCTTCCTTTTTCTATTTTTTTTCTATTTCAATTCCTTGCAAAGCAATTTGTACCATATTCTTACCTCTAACCATACTCTCAACACTTTTGTCTCTAAGCTAGAGAGTTACAGGTTTGATGGGTGGACTATCTGGTGGTTAAGTAATTGGCTCGATCCAGAGTGTTGCAGTCAAAGGCTCAATGCCCAAATGGTTAATGAGTTGTGTCATACAAGGTTTTGTACTGGACCAGTACTGTTTAATAACTCCATCAATGACATACATAGAATCATAGAATCATAGAATAGTTAGGGTTAGTGGGATTGAGTGCAGACTTAGCAAGTTTGCAGATGGACTGGAGCACCTCCCATATGAAGATAGGCTGAGAAAGTTGGGGCCATTCAGCCTGCAGAAGAGAAGGCTATGTGGAGACCTCAGAGCAGCCTTCCAGTATCAGAAGGGGGGCTATAGAAATGCTGGGCATGGACACTTCATTAGGGACTGTAGTGATAGGACAAGGGGTAATGGGTTAAAAACTTAAAACAGGGGAAGTTTAGATTAGACATAAGGAGGAAGTTCTTTACTGTAAGGGTGGTGAGGCACTGGAATGGGTTGCCCAGGAACGTTGTGAATGCTCCGTTCCTGCTGTTGTTGAAGGCCAGGTTGGACAGAGCCTTGGGTGGCATGGTTTATTGTGAGGTGTCCCTGCCCATGGCAGGGGGTTTGGAACTAGATCATCTTAAGGTCCTTTCCAACCCTAACTATTCTATGATTCTATGACACCAAGCTGAGTGCTGCAATTAATGTACTGGTGGGAAGGTTTTCCATCCACAATTACCTTTACAAGCTTCAGGAGTGGGCCCATGTGGACATCATGAAATTCAGCATGGTGAAGTGCAATGTCCTGCTCTCAATTGTGGGAATCTCCAATATCAGTCTAGACTGTGGGATGGCTGCCAGGAGAGCAGCCCTGTAGAGAAGGATTTGGGGGTACTGGTGGATGATCTGGGCTGCATTAAAAGAAGTGCGGCCAGCAGGGCAATGTACATGATTGTGTCCCTCTGCTTTGATCTTGTGACACCGCACCTGAAATATTCCCCTGGGTCTACAATACAAGAAAGACATGGACCTAGTAGAGTTGGTTCAGATAAGGGCCATGAAAATGAATTGAAGTCTGGAACACCTTTCCTATGAAGTAAGGCTGAAAGAGTTGGAGGTGTTTAGACTGGAGAAGGGAAGGCTCCAGGGAGACCTTATTGTGGCCTTCCAATACTTAAAGGCAGCTTATAAGAATGACAGAGAGAAACTTTTTATCATGATCTATAGTGACAGGATGATGGCCTGTAGTGACAGAACAAGAGGAAACAGTTTTAAACTGAAAAATGATAGATTTCATTTGGATATAAAGAAGAAATATTTTATGATGGGCATTGTGAGACAGTGGAACAGGTTGCTCAGAGAAGTTGTGGATGCCCCATCATTACAAGTGCTTCAGGTCAGGCTGGAGAGAACTTTGAACTACCTAATCTAGTGGGAGATGCACCTTCCAAGCCCAGAGGGAAGGACTACATGATTTTAAATACTCTTTCCAGCCCAAAGAGTTCTATGATTCTATGATTCTATAGTAGTTTTCTATGGACATCGAAAAACCTTGAAAAGTCATACAGTTCTTCCCTACTCCACTCTATGGTCCTTTTTTTCTTCTGCATTAATTTTCTGTGACACAGACTGTATTTAGAGAGGGATAGTGGGAGCCCATGACAAAAGAATCCTGAGACTGATTAATAGTTCTGAACTCAACAGCACAGGGAAAAAAAGGAATGAAATGGTGGAAGCAAAAGTAGCAGTAATATATAATTCTATTTAAATTTTCATGTCATGATTTTATCAAAACAAATCTGAATTTGTGACATAGATGCTTTCTGTGCTTTGGTGAAATAATTTGACATCACTAGAGAGTAATTTCACATCAGCTGTTCAGTTTCAATATTTCATTACAAATATAATTATATTCCCTGGTCCACCCAGTCCATTTGGCTTATTGGTCTTCCTGACAACTATCTGTGGAAATATACTTCCTTTTTAGAAATATTAGCATGAAAAATTCCTGTTTAAAATTACCAGTGATTAATGCTATGCTGAAATAAAAACCTAATGATGCCTTAAGAAAAGGAAACTCTGTAATTACTGTTAAAATATCTTTTTGATAGAATCCCTCTGACAACCACTCACCTGTTAGAATGAACTTAAACAAGCAAGCAAATGACAGAGCACCTCACCGAATGCAGGGGTGTCTTTCACTTAGAACAGTAGAAACAACAGTGTGAAGATAGTAAAGCACACAGTGTAGAATGCATCAGAACCATGAAAACTTTCAAGACATCTCCTCACATTACTGAGACAGAGTATTACTGAGACAAGAGACTCACCAGTCAGCATGAACTGATAGGCATTGTCAGAGATGGAGAAGATGTGTGGAGGGGCCTCCTGGCGCTTCTTGCCTCGGTAGGCCAACACCACCTCCGGGTTGTACACCGGCAGCCACTTGTAGGGGTTGACAGTGACACAGAAGAGACCCGAGTAGGTCTGTGGGGAAGGGACACAGCACGTTGGCTTCCACTTAGGCTGGCAGAGCAGTTCCTCCCAGCTACCCAGAGGAAGACTGCTGCTGGTACTTACGTAGATCATCCAGGCTGCGTAACGCTCTTTGAGGTTGTACAGCACAGCGGGTTCATGGAGGTGGGTCATCATGGCCATGTCCTCGATTTTGTCGTACTTGGGAGGGTTCATGGGAAAGATTTGGTCTTCCTTCACAGTCAGGGTCTGACAGAGGAAAGAAGGGTACATGCGTGTCATCTAGGAGCTCAAAATGGGAATTTCATGTTGTTTATAAATCTTGTGTTTTACCCACCTCTCCACCTTCAGTCTTGACAGTGACCTTCCCTGATTCTTTGCTCTGGATTGTGCTTTTCACATAGGATTCCTTAGCATGCACCACAAAGACCGATGTCTTAGCATCGAAAGGCTTGTTCTGGGCAGCAATTCTCTCCTTTTCTGACTTCCGGAGGTAAGGAGCTGCCTCCCCAAAGATAGCCATGTCAGCATCTGTCGACATGGCTGCAGTTTATTGAGTGCAGCACAGCACGGGGCTGAAGTGGAGAGACATGGTACAGTGTTGAGTAAAGGAAGCAATGCCTTAACACCACACACCTGACTCTGTGGTGTTCTCTGCCTGTTTTTACAACTACGTTTTTGTCTTATCTGTTTTCACTCTAGATATCTTTTAATTTATTTAGATCCTAAATAAAATATGTCTTTGATTTGTATTAACTTTCTTTCCCTTAGTCCTGTTTATGTGTTCAATTCTATAGATGTCATAGTGTGTTATCATGCTCTGCAGAAAAAATAGATTGGCATAATAGAAACATTTTTAACACAAAGCAGCAGGTATCAGGGGAAATATCTTATTGAAATCTTGAATACCCACTTATAACCTTTCTTTCTTGTACATTTTATACCATGTAATTTGCATCAAATATAGAAGATGAGGAACATTAAGAAAAAATGTGTGAAATAAGCAGAGCCACGGGTGTGAATTGTCTATACAAAGCTTTTTCTCAGAAATCAGACAGCTGGCTTCTCTGGTTTTTCTGTTTCCCATTTCAAGCTGATCCTTTAAGATCAACTTGTGTCAAAAGAGGAAAACTTCTCAATAAAAAATACTTAGAGGCATTTGACAAAATCTCTCTGTGTGCACTGTTCATTCATCTTCTTTTTCCTGGATTTCTGTTTACAGTCAATCTCCTTTAAGTAGTTCTGTGTGTGGTAAAAGGTCATCTATTTTCCATCAGGTATGAAACAAACGTGTCCAACGCAGTTATGCTATTTTAGGCACTACACCTCAGACAGAATTGCACTGCATTAACATGCACCGATGTAAAGGGGTGTGGGAAGTGCCCTTACTGCTGCATAAAAAATATAAAAATAATAGAATAATAGAATCACAGAATAGTTTGGTTTGTAAGGAACCTTAAAGCTCATCTAGTTTCAACACCCTGCCATGGGCAGAGACACCTTCATCTAGAACAGCTTGCTCAGATCCCCATCCAACCCGGCACTGACAGGGATATCTATTCCTATAGAGTAGGTAAATCAGTCTTACCTCTTGTGATACCAGCTGCCTCTCAGGCTGGAGCTGGTCAACACTGAAAAACAGAAATGACAAGTTCCTTATTATTTTGCATGGAATTCCAAAGGCAAAAATATGCTGGTGACTTGAAAGTGGAAAGAAGATCTATTGATATGAACAGTCCTTTGACGAAAGCAGTCCCACAAGCAGCAGGATTGCAGTGGCATTCTGCTAGCACCCGGCTCTCCATACTCTTACCTTGAAGCTTTCCGTGGAGACAGAACACACTTGGTCATAACAGCACTTTTATAGATTCTGGTCTGCATATACAACTCCCTCCTCCTCTTTCTTAGGTCAAAAAATTTTTGGCAAAGCATTGTTTGGCAAACTTGACTGAGTGCATGATTCCCATTCGTGCTAATGGATATATTTAGAAATATATGAAGTCTTACTAGCTATGTGAATAAATCTCCTATAAATATTTTGACTAGGAATCTGAAAGGAGGAAGTGCTGTCCAGCAAATAGAGCAGGACACTGGGACTTGAAACAGTTGGTTTCTCTTCTCCTGACTCTGAATTGCTGTTTGACATTAAAGATTCATGTGTCTCAGGACTTGGCAGTAGTGGGCAGGATTACTGTTATGAAGAGCTTTGGGGAGATTCTATTCTGAAATATCCTGGAAATAAAGAACAGAAACAATCTAGTCTAGTCTTAATTGAAAGTTTGAACAACCATATCGCCCTTGTGCTACTGCACCTGTTTACAACTCCTTAGCTATTTCCTGGCTACTTCCAAAAGATCAGAGAAGACTGTTTATCCCTCTTGATTCGTAATTTAATTACATATTTTTCCTTCTTCTGAAGTATTGCCAATTGGCTAGAATTTTAAATTAGGTTTTAAAGACATTATTTTGCTATTCTTCCTATCTGGCTCTGCTGGTTTGTTCAGACGTATTTCTAGCAGAAGTATTGGTATGGTCCCATTAGCTGTGCTCACTGGCATTTTGTGTCCTTCGTCTTTTAGGTTAATTGGCAGTTTTAAGTCACCAATTTGTTGCTATTGTAGAGACCTTGGACAATAGCTATAGTTAACAAATGCAAGAATAAGGTTTAGATAACAAACACACCTCCTCCAGGCTTCCCAAACACAAACTCCACAGAAATTTAGAGAACCCCTGAGAGTCTCTGGGTCTTGACATGTCTCATCTGTGGGTGTGGAGATGATTTTATTTCCCCCCACCTCCCTGCATCAATCCAGTGAAAATCCTAGGTATTCTAGGTATGTTTATTCTTTCAGAGCTTCATTGAACAGAAAGTATTAACAAAAGCAACCTAAACTTTACCTTAAAGATACAAATCAAGATGAAGAAGGAAGTTTTTTCTTACTCTTAAAATGCCTTAAAATTTCTAAAACAAGCAAAAAACAAAAAACAATTAGTTTAAGCAAAATTCACAGGTTTTTGATGTTGTTTGGATGCACAGAGAAAGAAGAGCACTTGGCCTGTTTTGATATATCTATGACAATGAATTGTACCTTAAGAAAAGCATGTTGCTTATCTATGGACAAACAAGTTTATTTTTACAGGTATATTTTAAACTAAGCATAATAGTTCTCAGTGAAGGTGAACTTAAGGTAAACCTATGAAGACATGCATTAAGTAATGGGGAAAAAAAAGCCACTCATGGCTTCTAGCAATTCATAGGGTCTTATAAGGTTGTGGGCACTTTACGGTGGTGTGGCCATAACCTCTGATGCTGCAGATATTCATCATGCAGCAGAAAATTTACATCATGTGGGAAGGGTGCAGAGGAAAAAGGCACAAGTAGAACGCTTTAGCTGCTTTATATAATAAAAGTTTGAGATTCGTGAGGTGCATGGAAATTCTTTCTGGGTCTTACAGAGCTGTCATATTCTGGGATTCACACTCTCTCTCATATATCCGGGAGTTGAAGCTGTCTAAGAAGGGTCATAGAGGATGACCAGTCTTCTCAACTCACTTTTTTGATGAACTTTTGTATGTTTCCAACACTGCACATACAACTGAAATACCTGAGATCAAGTATTTTATGAGGCTGCCAATGTCTTTTTGAACAATAAATGTAGCGATTTTGTTTCTGTTTGAAAAATAATATTGAATACTTGTAGAAACGTCATTGAAGAAAATGGAAAAGTCTTATTGCAAAACAGGATAAAGGGAGGGAAAGAAAGGATAGCTCTTCTAATTTTTTAGCAAATTAAATTGATAGATCCAATAACTGTTTAGCAAAGAATAGACTTGACTGTTCTTTCTATGACACATGAAATTAACTCCAAGTTAGAGCTGCAGTTCTTTCTTAAATTTGCCTCTGACTGTTGACATAGTGACTTCCAAATTGTTTAGGAACAGAAAACTTAGCAGCTGACATCCACCTAGCTGTGAGAAACTTCTAACATTTTTAATTCTGATAAAGGCTCTCTTGGACCCTGGCAATATCCACTGTTACGGTCATTAATTTGCTTATGTTTCTAGTAGAAATTGCAAAATGATTCTTATTATTTCAGTTTCCTTCTTGGGACCTCTGCATATGTTAAAGCAGATGACTTGAATTCCAGGACACTAGTTCAGAGATCACACTTGGAGTGTATCATCTTCTCTGTCAGTTTGACTTCTTGTGTTTTGTTTCACCTCGTAGGGTAATGGAAATCATCTGGGAGGGCAACAGAAGGAATGACATCTGACTTGCTTTCTGTTCCCTGTGCCTTTAACTTCCCTTCCTAGAAAGCTGGTGATAAAGGTCCACCTTCTATAATACACGTCTTTCACCTGCTTAGCTCAAGAAATAGCACTTCACATATATTCGCCCCACTGCAAGTACACTTGACATCCTGGAGCCCTGAATTCTTGTGGTTTGCCTTGCCCCTCCATTTAGCTTGGGAAAGTGAGAATGGAGAGACTTTAACCTGTCTGGGAAAAGGTTCTATCCATTACCTGTTTAGAAAGACAACTTGCCAAGGCAGAAGCATTTCTGCTCACTTGGCTGCATAAGAGATTAGGTATTCCTATTACTTCTATCCCGATTCTCAGCCTGCTGAGAGTATAAAGAGCAGTAAGTGAGCTGTCCCTACATTGCATAGGATAATTGGCCTAAAGATCCCTGGTCCATCTTCTGAGTGAGGCTGATTCTGCCTGTGGTGTTAATACAAGGTCAGAACACAGTAAAGGATGACAGCCACAGAAGGCACCCTCAGTCCTAGGCAGGAAGTACTGCTCTGCCCTTTAACATCAAATTTCCTATTCCTGAGGAGACTGCTGTTGTTGTTGCAAAGCTTATGTTCAGATAAAGGCTTTCCTAAAGAAGGTCACAACTCTATAACCATCACTTTCTTGGCCTAAAACAGTTGATGTAACGGCATAACTATCAAAAGTAGGTCTGGGAATTTTTCAAGTCAAGATATTTCCAATGTTTGTGGTAAACTGATATGTTTTTTTTTCGCCACAGACAACAACATAAGGGTGCAATAGAAGGTGAACAAATGTTATGGAAATAGTAGACAATATCATAATGCAAGTACCTGTAGAATGCAAGACAAAGCTGGACAGATCCATAGTACACCCCCAAATTTAGATTTTTATTACTGCAGTGATCTCTGTAATCTTCAGTGTCTAGAAAATAAGAAAACAGAAAGTTATTATTACAGAAAAGCAGCAACTTAATGTTCTGTCAATCTTTTGAATAATTTTCCATTTTTGTGACATTCCCTGATCCCATTAAACTCAAAACATTTTACAGAATTTGTTCAACTGGGATGGTATAACATCAACCTGCACTACAGATGCTCCCTCCTATTTTTAAAGTTTTGGAAAAAATTACATGAAAATTTTTCACTTGTGGATGGAAAAGGATCCGTAAATACAACAGAGTGATGGTTATCCTTGTCCTGCGATTGGTTGTAAAGGCGGGCTTCATGTTACTGGCCAAATCATTGATCTTAATCTTTAACTCATCTTTCTCCTTCTCCAGCTTGACGCTTTGTAGGTCTTCACTCCCCAGACTCATCTGCCCGCAGCAGAAAAAGAATAATAACTCCATAGAACCACAGAGATGTTGGTGGTAACGGACCTCTGGAGGGCCCTAGTCATGGTTTTGAGTCAGGAAAATACTCCGCATCTTTCAAAAATCTGTTGCCACGTTTCACTGTTGTCATACTGAAAAACAATGTCAAGGCTGAAACTTCCAAGCCTCTACTTGTGTTTTATTATCTGACACTACCAAGAGTTGGCCTTCATCACTTTTTTAACAGGATGACAAGTAGTTATAGGCTGTTGTACCACTCCCAAGCCTCTTTGACAGACTAAACTCCTTGCAGGTTGTGTGTGCTGATCAAGTTCTTAACCTACTACTGCACTCTCCAGTTATTCCACATCCTTCTTGAACAGAGGGGAAAGAATAGCTTCCTTCAGCATGACGGTGACACTGTTCCTAATGTAACCTAATATAGCGTTTGTTTCCTTTACAGTAAGAGTGCACTGCTGGCTCATAGTCACATTTGTCACCTGAAGATTTCTCAAGGACTTCCCTGCATCATCACTGTGCAGGATGAGAATGTTGAATAATATGGGCCACAGTGTTGAACCACCATGATTGTTATTAACAGCTAACTGAATATCAAGCCATTCATAACTGTCTCTTGAACTCAGAGGTCCAGCCAAAATTCAACAAACCTAATAGTCCATCTATCCAATGCATTGCCTGAGTAAGACTGTTGCAGAAGAAGAACTTACTAAAGTTCACCTGGTTTTACCCCTCATCCTGATATCTATTTGTTTATTCATGGAAGCAATCTTTTCCAGCACAATTATTTTTCCTCCCTCCTTTTCTTCGCTTCAGTAAGTGTCCTGTAACTTTTGAGGGCTTCTTATGTTTTTCAAAGTTACAGAGGATAAAATAAAAAAGAGAAATGAAGTAAAAAATGCTTAGAAAAGTATAATTTGATCCTTCTTTAAGCATACAGCACAAACATTTTCCACTACAAGAAAAAAACAACCCAGTTCTAAATTACTTAACTCTATGCATTGGGTGTCTGTGGCAAGGTTTTTGTAGCAGGGGTTGCAGTGATGACCTCTGTGAGAAGAGACCAGGAGCCGCCTCCCTGTTGGACACAGTTTTGCCAACTCTGCAGTGAACAGACGAGCTATGTAAATGTC